AGTCTTTTCACTTTCCTTGTTAGTGTCTTTTCATGCATGAAAATTTTTAATTTTGATGAAATCCAGTGTAGTGTTTTTAGATGTTCTTAATCAGGTTTAGGAAGTTCCTTTCTATTTCTAGTTTGCTGAGAGTTTTTATCACGAATGGGTGTTAAATTTCATCAAATGCTTTCTCTGCATCTGCTGAGATGGTCCTGTGGTTTTTCTTCTATAATCTGTTGATATGGAAAATTCTCTTGATCGATTTTCAAACATTGATGTTTTCTTGACCCATAATGGCCAGTAACGTTGAGCACCTTTCGCGTGTTTACTGGCCATTTGTATATCTTCCTTTGTGAAGCGACTGTTCAAGTCTCTTGTCCATTTTTTATTTGGGTTGTTCATCTTTTTATTGTTAACTTGTAGGAGTTCTCTAAACGTTCTGGCTAGGAATTCTTTGTCAGATATATTTTCTGCAAATATTTCCCCCAGTTTGTAGCTTGACTCTCAATGTTATTGTTTGATAAGCAGAACATTTTAAAGTTTAACGAAATCCAATTTTTCAAATTTTTGTTTTGTAGTTAGTGCTTTTTGTGTCTTGTCCAAGAAAACTTTGTCTCCCGTAACATTGCAAAGATTGTTTTCTACTGTTTTCTTCTAGAAGCTTTATGGTTCTGGCTCTTATATTGAGATCTATGATCCATCTTAAATTAATTTTTGTGGATGGAGTGAATTAGGTGCCCAGGTTCATTATTTTTTCTTTGTGAATATCTAGCTGTTCCAGTCCATTTGTTAAAAAAGACTCTCTTTTCCCCCATTGGATTGACTTGGTCCCTCAGTGTTTCTTTTCTCTTAAGAATTCTCCAAACAGCTGAAAGAAATTCTTTGCCTTACTCACAATTATTCCAATTCTGAGGAAGATGCCCTGGTTATGTGGTCAACAGTACTTGAGTGAGCCTCTTTCCAGGGCTCGATTTCCTTACCAATATGATAATAAGACTTAACACTTGTTAGCGCCTGACAGCTTACAATGTATTTCAAAAGCATTATCTTATTTAACCCTCATCGCAACCCACTGAGAGCTGGTAAGGAATTTAGATCATCAGAGGTTATTAGAAATGAATGTGAAGTTCATAAAAAGAAAAGAAATGCAAAGAAAACTTGCCCACAGTCACAGAATCTGAAAGTAGTGAGGCAAGGGTTTGGACTCAGAGTTCATCATTTTATCCGCTTTGTTACAAAGCATATAAAAATCAGATTAGATGGTTGCTAAAGTTTCTTTGAGCTCTAAGCATCTGTGTTCTCCATAATCTAGCCTCCATAAATGAGAAGCCGTTTTCGTATCAGATACTCCCTCTTGGCTAAGAGCTCAAGTGCGGCTGGCCATCATCTGCAACACTGTGCTCTTCATCGCCCACACTGATGGAGCACTCCGGGCCGGGCACTGGGCCAGGCCAGCCCCCCTTACAGGATTTGATTCGCCCCCAACCCTATGAGAGAAAGATCCCTGTGTCCCTGCTGCAGAGAAGGAGTCAAGCCTACAGCGGCATCAACCCCATAGACAGCTGCGGGAGCCAGCTGGGAGGTCAGCGCTCTGGAAGTCCTCCCTTAGGCGCGACGTTAGGTGGAGATACCGCAGGAAGGCTCTATAGGGACTGCTTCAACAAACAATGGTTGCATTAAGCATAAAATGCTGGATTTCTAACCTCGGTTGCACTGGAACATGGCAGTTGCTGAATACAGATGTATTAAATGATATTGAATGAGACAGGAGTTTATTTGTGTGAGAGTCAGAGATGGAGATGTGCTAGAAAGGCACTCTCCCCACACAGGCCCGCATGGGCCACCTCTTACCCATTTTCTTCTTGGCTGTCTTGGGCTTTGCAGCCACTCCTTCTGGAGCAGAACATACCCCCTGCCCTCTTCTCTCTCTCCACACACTCTCCTGGGGCGACCCATTCACTCATATGGCACAGATCCCCACTTAGGAGCAGGCAGGGAGCTGGCCAGCCTAGACTTCCAGCCTGGACCTCTCCTTGAGCACCAGCCCAGACATCTGAGTGTGGTCCACAGGCCCATGGGTCCTTCTCTGCATCTCTGTCAAGTGTGGTCCACAGGCCCGTGGGTTCTTCGCGTCTCTGTCCAGTGTGGCCCATAGGCTCCTGGGTTCTTCTGCACATCTCCATCTGGTGTGGTCTTCAGGCCCATGGATTTCAACATAATCTCAACCTCAACTACAAACTTGTTTCCCCTCCTGGTGTTTTTCATCTCAGTTAAAGGCATCATTTCCCCTCTAGTCATCTAATCTAAAAATATTGGAGTCATCTCAGCTGCTCCCCTTCTTGTGCACCGCCACATCCTGTGAAATCTTCCCTGGCTCCTCCCTCCTTTCCATGATCACTGTCAGTGCCCAGGTCTTACCCTTTGACGTCTTTTACTTGAATCACCTACAGGCTCCCCCTGACCCGGTCCAGCCTCTGCGCCATCCTCAGAGTGGTCTTCTCAAATCTATGTCTGAGCAGGTCACCCTGCCACCTCCATTGGTTCTCCACTGAGAGCAACGCCTGCTGTGTGCTCAGGGCTGTGCAGATTCGCTCCAACACGGGTGCCCCAACTGGTTCCTACCATTCTCCTGGGACTGCCACACACGCCATTACCGTCCCTCTGTGCCCTCGCTCTTTCTAAAAGCCATGCAGAATAGTCACAACCACCCCATGCACCACTTCCCTCACTCGTCCTTCAAGCCTCAGCTCCAATGTCCCTTCCTGGACACCCTCTAGGCAGAATTCATTACTGAGTTCCCTTTGCAGTTTGCCTTCATATGTTACTGCTAACATAGCACCTCATTCACTCATTCAGCCATTAACAAGCCTAAACTAAATTAATTCTGAGTCAGATGCCTCTCTAAGCCCTAGGAATAAGTGAATTAATTACACCTATTGTCCTGATTGGCTATTGGTCTGTGAGAATCCCCTGTGATCCTGCCCTTCACTACTCCAGAACGGGTCTAACACACTGTTTCCTCAGGCATGGGTGTACTGCCCGATATACAAGGTGTCGGGAAATCGAAATGGCGGGGGCAGGGCTTGACCATAGAGTGAGTAAAGGGGGCATGTCTTAGTCCGTTCAGGCTGCGACAACAAAATCCCACAGAACGGGTAGCTGTAAACTACAGAAATTGATTGCTCACAGTTCTGGAGGCTAGAAGTCCTAGATCAGGACGCCAGCACGGCTGGGTTCCGGCGAGAGCTCTCTTCCTGGTTCACAGCCAGCACCTTCTCACTGTGTCCTCACATGGCGAAAGGGGCTAGGGAACTATCGGGAGCCTCTTTTATAAGGCATTAGTCCCATTTATGAGAGCTCCACCCTCATAACTTAAGCACCTCACAAAGGCCCCACTTTCTAATATTATCGCATTGGGCATTAGGATTTCAGTATATGAATTTGGGGGGGACACAAAGATTCAGGCCATAGCAGGGTGTCAGTGGGAGGGACAGCTAATGATCCCTTAAGGCCCTGTCCAGCCCCAGTGGCTGTGGGCAGGAAACACCAGCTCTGTGCCCTGGGGCCGGCGAGTCCCAACAGGCCCTGTGGAGCCCAGGACTCTGGGAGGAAATTGCTTTTGGCTTCAACACTCTTGAAAGTCAGATGAGGCTTGTTGACACCAGTGACCCTGACAGGGAAGAAGTATGTGTGTGTTTCTCTGAGCTAAACTGAGGAGGAGTGCGGGCAGAAGGGGTCACGTTTTATGTGATTGTCAGTGTGCTAAAACCAAGCTGAGTCAGGAGAAGGAATGCACAGGTCAAGCTACAGCTCTTTGGAAACGCAGCTCGGGGAGGGCAGTCAGCAGTTACTGAGAATTTACAGGAGCAATCATTTGACCACGTGCGGTGGCGTATGCACTAGCAAATCTCTATCCCAGAAAGTTTACACCTTCAAAAGGGCTGGAATTAAGAGACTGTTCCACTGTAACTTGCTCAAGAGACTTCCGCTTCGATTTTGTAATTAAGAGCTCTGTCAAATCCCTGACAAGCTCCCCTTGCCGCCCCCTTCCGAGGTCTAAACAAGGCCCGGCTGCATCCTGCATCGTGGACATCTATGCAAGGAGGATGTGAATGGAACCCTCCGCAGTCCTGGCTCGGTTTTTCTCTTGCCTTCCTTACTCTGAGAAAGTTCCTGACCTAGAGCTAAAAGATTGGCAGTGAAGTCCAACGGTTCCTTTAGCCCTCCATTCTGAATGTCCCTCTTACTGCCCCAAATGCCCGCGGTGCCGCTGTGAAGCAGCCTAACGTGAAGGAAGCCTAGGGGCCTCGGAGAGCCTGAAGGACCGCGTGTGCGGGTGTCTGCGGCCATTCGTCTCCTCTACAGGAGCCAGCCAGCTCGCCGAGCTTGGAGCAGGGCGTCAAGGGCTCCAGCCCCGGGGCGGGCTGCGCGCGGCCCTGGGGGTCACTGATGCGCACATCCTGCGCCTCACTCTCCCATCTGTGGCCTGCGTTTAAAAACAACACATCCGCCTTTCCACAACCAAGGCCATGCCGCCGGGCTTGGTGATGTCGCCAACTGCCTCAACCTCCAGGACGTGCGAGGCAAACAGGCTGACAGGCGACCATCACGGGACCTGCGGAGCAGCTGGGGTTCGAGGGTCGTGGGCACCGTTCTCTGCAGCGGTCTCGGAGAGCCGCTCCGCTCGCGGGGCCCGAAGGGCGTGGACCGGGTCACGCACCCACAACGCGAAGCCGCGACCTTTGGCAGCGGCGAGCGCATTGCCAAGGTCCTGGCACCGCGCGGTCAGGCCGCGATCGGGTTGGCTGCACCCGGCGGGGCAGGGCGGGGCGGGCGGCAGCGCTTTAAGAGGCGGCGCGGGCGGGGAGAGGCCGCGCCTGAGAGCTACACCCGCGCGATGGAGACCGCCCGGGACTGCGCCGGAGCCCTCATCAGGCGAGTGGCACGCTAGCCGGGCTCCGGGCCATGCCTGCGCCTCCGCGCGCCCCAGGTCCCCCGCGCTCCGCCTCCCCCGGCGCCCCGCATCTCCCTGAGCTCCGCATCCCCCTGCGCCCCGCGCCCGGGTCCCAGCGCACGCACGCAGCCGCCAGTCTGGTGCCCACCCAGCGGACTAGCGCCGGCGGACAGAGCCCGAACCCGCCGCGCGTCTCCTCCCTCTCCTCCAGCTGTCCGCAAGGGTCAGGGGTGGCGCTCGGGAGGTGCGTGGGCGTCCAAGGAACAGGTGACAGTGGTGAGTGCGGGAGTGGTCGAATCTCTTGCCGCTGCCGCAGCCGCCGGTGCAGATAAGGGCTGCGTCCTGGGAACCCTGGGCAACGCCTCCACGGTACGCAGGGACAGGGCTTCTCCGGGACCTCGGATTCGCGATGGTAGCTGGGGCGAGGAGAAGGGCGCCCGTGGGGACGCTCAGAGGCCTTGGAATGCCCCAAGCTTACTCCTCAGGGCGAGCGCGGGCTCTGGGCTCCAAGGGAATGGTGGGTTGACCTGGGGCGCGCCTCGGGCCTTGAGCACCTGACCCCTGCTCGCTGAGCCCACCCAGATTTGTAAGGGGAATTGGGGAGGGGGGGAGCGCTCCCCGCTCTCGCCGCATCCAAAGGCGGTGACGCTGCCCAGGAAGGGACCAGCCACCTCTTTGCCCCGTTCCGCCTACTGCGTGATTGAAAACACCGCATCACCTTTTCCCGCTCTTGGGTTCATCTTCACATCCTGACATACCGAAACCAATCCTTATCGGTAAAGTCCTAAAGATATTGTGTGGCAGTAACTTAATAGATTTAAGGGAGGGGTCATATTTTTCTGAAGATCTTCAAAGTGCTTCGAAAAGAATGGAGAAGGCTTTCAGTACTTTAATACGCAGGTTTTCAGGGGCGACAGATCCCATTTGTACCCAGGGGGTCTAGGCGTGGGGTAGGAAGGGGAAACTAGTGTGATCTATAAGGGCTGAACCTGGGTGTGCGGTACTCAAGGTTAGAAAAATAGCAGCCAAATGTAAAGATGATTTGTCTGGACAGCACTGGCTTTTTCTTTAAAAACAAACAAAAACAAGAAATGGAAGTCGGGCTGTGGGAGCCAGGGAAGACGAGAAACAGATTTGTTTCGCGCGTCTTCACTAAGGTGGCTTAAGCCTAAAAGTAAGCCCCTTGGTTTCTTTCCTGTTTTTCTTCCTCTCCTTCCAGTTCCACTCACTCCGCAAGTCCACTCCCAGAGGGTAACAACTCTTTGGAGCACATCCTCCAAACTTTTCTCCCATTAATATACAAACGCCCATTCTCCAACTTCCTCTGGAGCACTGAGCGGTTGGTGAGCCGAGTTTTAAGGACGGGTAAGAAAGAGGGCGCTAATTCCTCACTGGTATTGCCTGGAGCAGGAGGAAGTGGCAATGCCCGCAGAATTAAGGCTGACCCTGCCTTGCACCTGACTCCTGCTACAGTACACCAACATTCAAAGTGTATCTGTGTGAGGTTCCCACTGCGTCAAGTGTGGCACCGTATGATGGCATAGAAATTGTAAGCAACTATAAAATCTTAATCCAGTCATTAGTTCGTTAATCGTCTGTAACCACTCTGGGCCTTAGTCATCAATGAAAGCAGCTTGAGGTCTCTTAGCACAGCTGTGGACACCAATGGTGTCCACACGAATGTGTGTTGTTAGAGACAAAACCTACTCTGTCTTTGTGTCCTGTCGGTGATAACATTCCTGCCAACCTTGAAGTTGCTATGAAGCTGATATATATTATACTTTGTGCAAAATAGCTGCTTTTGTAGCTGCTGAGTACATCTTTTCTTTCCTCGAACAGGGAACTCTCGGTTTTGAATAGCTGCCGTTTCAGTACAGATTTTACCAGTCTTATTAGTGACATAAGCAAGAAACTGAGTTTTCTACAAGTAAATCTCCCAGGTTACTGGTACTTACTCCTTCGTGCGTCTAAACTCTTATTTTAATAACATTGCAGGGGCCGGCCCGGTGGCTCAGCAGGTAAGTTCGCATGCTCCGCTTCTCGCCGGCCCGGGGTTCGCCAGCCCGGATCCTGGGTGCAGACATGGCACCGCTTGGCACACCATGCTGTGGTAGGCATCCCACATATAAAGTAGAGGAAGATGGGCACGATGTTAGCTCAGGGCCAGGCTTCCTCAGCAAAAAGAGGAGGACTGGCAGTAGTTAGCTCAGGGCTAATCTTTCTAAAAAAAAAAATAATAACATCGCAAAGTGTTCAAAGACTTCATGGTCATATATTTAATACACTGATGAGGCCAAGCATTTTGACAGGTTGATCAATGCCCAGACCACAGGCCATAGTCCCTGTCAGGCCGGCTCCTCCATGGGGCAGACGTGTCCTGACCTAGGTGTGTTGCCTGTAACCGGGCGCCCAGCGCTGCTAGGGAGCAGGGAGCCTCTCCAGGCCACAGACACTCCTCCACCTCCTGCCGCTGGGTGAGACCGCACCAACTCTGACATGTCCTTGCAGCTCACAGAGACCCAGCTGGGGCTGACGGATACTATAAGCCATCTTATTTCTCTGTGTTCCCATGTTTGCCATCACCACTTCCCTTCGCAGCATTTTCATTGTCACTCTTGGCTTTGGCCTAGTGCTGGTTGACTTGTATCCTACTCCTGTCTGTGCTTTATTACTTCATGTGGGTTCCTCCTTTTCCACCTAATGATGAAATGTGGGGCTCCCTCTGTCATCATTTCACTCCGAATATTCCCGGGGCAATTCTCTTACACAGCCTTAGAGAGCTACCTCCTCAACACTGACACCAAAATGCTTCTCTCTGGCCAAGGCCTCTTACTGGGCCTGCTTTTCTCCTCCAGCCCTTTCAGAATAAACATCAGTCCATGGGGTGGCATGTGAAGATGCTCGTGCGTGATCTGTGGTGGTCAGCTTGGTTTTACCAGAGTCAAGCTCACATGTGCTGTCAGTCTGTGTCTTCTTGCTTTATTTCACACACTTTCATAAGCTGAGGACTCCTTGGTTCCCTCAGGGAAAAATACAAAGACTTCTCTGTTTCCCTCACTTCTGGGAGATATGCTCCTTCACAATTTTCAAGAATATTCTATGAAGTCTGACTTCTCTTATCGTCTTGATTTCCCCGAAACAGTCTATTTCCTTAAACGACCTGTTTCCTTGTTTTTTTTCCTTTTAGTGAGCTATTTCCCTTCCTGCTTCATATGACTGTCTGCAGTTTCCCAGGATTAGAGGGCCGTTAACAAGTGGTGGATCTAAAAGCAGAGTTCCGAGCCTTCTCAGGGCTCCAGTTTCAGCTTTGCTGTATTAAAATATCGAGGGGAGAATAGCAACACATTTTAGGCTTCATGCTAGAGGCCCGTGACATAAATTATCCTACTTAGAGGACCAGAAGTGAGTGGATTAAGATGTTGCTTTGTTCATTTCTCTGGCTAGTTAACCCTACTGTCCGTTTAGCTGAAGCAGAGTAAGTACTCATGTAGCATTTGTTGAATAGGTTTAATGTACATAAAATTGTGTTTAATCCTTTTTTATATTATCTATAAGATAGTCTTGATTTTATATAATTTGGCACATCAAATCACTCATCCTGTTCCTTGGAAAGAATGGCAGAATTTAATTTTCATGTCTTCAAGGATTTTTTTATGTGTGCTCCATAAGCCTTTTCTCCTCACAGAGTCCTTAGTGAGGAAACTTAACGGGTAGGAAAAACGATAGGCTATACGTCCTTTTTTTATCAAGGATGGCTATCTGGAGGGCAGTGTGAAGGGGAAGACCAGAAATGACTGCCAGGTCTCATCCTGTCAGAAGTGAAGACAATGTGAACTTTGTATAGTCAACTGTGCTGGGTCACTGGAGCGCTGGTGCTTACGAAGGCGTGAGCGTTGGCGTCCAATGAGGAGACAGGATCATAAGCAACTGGGTTAAAGCTCTTCATGCCCTCAGGGTGTGCCATTGGCCACTAGGGCCTAGACCTCAGATTCCAAGACAGGAACTTTGTTCTCCCGTTTCTTGATGTTGTCGTAGCCTCTCTCTTGCTCAGTAAATAGATCACGTGCCGACAGTGGGCTAGGTGCAGTGCGGAAGTAAAAAATGTACGCACAGACCCTGGCCTCGGTGAGCGTAGACTCTAGAAGGCCTCCTGTGCAACAGCAATGACTTCCTGCTTTGTGGGAGAAGAAAGGCTCTTACTGGTGAGGGTCCAGGGCCCCCCTGTACCATACCAGGGTTTTCATCTGGTAGGGCAGGCGTTGCGCTGCGAAAGTAGGAGCTGGATTCAAACCCACTTGCTAATTTTGGACTTCTTAATTTCTTAATGTCCCTGGAGCCTCAGCTTTACTTATCTGTAATCTTTGTTCTGTAGAGTTATTAGGTAACGTGCTAATGTGCACAGTGTTTGGCATAGAGTGGAACTCGGAGCATAGAGACTTCACCAGCGAGTTTGTTTCAGATGCTAGATTAGGTTGAGGACAAAGCTAGGTTCTAAATGTACAGCATAATATGGGTAATCCTCATTGCCTGTCCCCCAGGTCACCAGGGATGAGACTGTGAGTGAGTTCCCTGCAGCATCAGCTCAGCAGAATGTGGGCATCTTGCTCATCGTGTTGTGCAACCTGGAACCTGGTGTAACTCGCTGGAATCAGGGCGAAGGTCCAGAGGCAGGATGCCAGTCCCACTGCCATGTTGGTTCAAGGCTAGGATTTACTCAGTGGGTCTCTCCTCAGTCTGAAGGGGAGCCTGCGTGAGGGACCGCTGACCAGGCAAGTCCCCTTGCAGATGCCCCAGATTGTGCAGTGGATCTGGCAGCCGGAGAGGGAAAGTTGCTGAGAGTGGGAACTGAGCGCACTGCTGTCCTTTCGGCCATGGAGCAGCTCCTCCTCACAGTGCTCGGGGCTGAGGTTTCTTGCTTGGGACTTGAAGTTCAGAAAGATTATGTCCCACCTTCTTTCCTTATTAACTGGATGACCTTGAGAAACCACTCTGAGCCTCAGTCTTCTGAGAAATGAGGTAACACTTTCCTTGTAAGGTTGTCACGATACTTATTTAATATATTTAAAGAGCCAGCATGTTACTGGTCATAGCAAGTGCTTGAATGCAAGCAGTGACAGGCACTAATGTGATGCTGGCTGGCTACGAGTCAGAGCGAATGCTTGCTAACAATCGAGGTCTCGTTCCAGAATGCCAATTTGCTGGCGAGCCATAGGAATAAGACAGAGACAGTCACTGTTATGGAGACCCTCCTGAACCTGGCTGATCATGCTGACAGCATGGACTTAGCCTGACAATTTTTGAGAGCCAGTTCATTAATGTGCTATCAGTTTTTCTTTTTTTATTGAGCTATATCAGTGTTTCATATAGCAAATTACTTGGTAAGTCATTGAATTTTCACTTATGTCCATTTTAGAGCTTCAAGTTAGATAACATACTATTTAAAACTTATATGCCTGGCACCAAGTTAAGCATTATGAGAGATACAACCAAGAAGCCTTTGTCAATAGGGAAATTCCAATCTCATTGGGAAAATAAAGCATAGATAAATAAATGACAATATGTGTATGTATATATATGCATGTATTGTATGTACAAGTATATATTTTTGTATATGTATATATTATATACATATGTAATTATATATTGTATGTATTGTATACATATGTAATATATATGTATATCTATAAAATAAAGTGCCAAATCATAGGGGATAGGCATTCACAAACAGTACAGGTATTCGCTAGAATTGCAGCCTTCACAGGGCTAATCTCGATAAACTGTTATAGTGTCAGACAGCAGTGCTGGCCTCCCTTTTTATTTTCTACAAGGTTGTCCTAAAAATCCCTTTGTTTCATGCTCCTGAATGTTGCTATGTAAGCATTTACCCAAATAGTCAATAGCTATCTGAGCACCTGAAATAGATGGGCGCTCTTCTGGGCATGGGGACAGTGTAGCTCCAGGTGCAGGTCCCTGGGGCTGTGGGGATTAAATAAGGTCCCATGTCACTTATCACAGCGCCCGCCTGAAGCAAGATCTGCCTGAAACATTGCAAATTTCTATTCATATTCTTTTGAATAGTCTCTTTATGGATACATTCCTAAATATTAAAAAGCCCACAGTCCTGGGGGAGAGCTCTTTGCACGTTGCTAGACTTGTCTCCACAGAGACTGAGCCACCTTCTAGTGTCACCAGCAAGGCACGTCTGTTTCCCCTCATGGAGTTATTTTTAAATAACGTCTTGCGTGTTGGTTTAAAGGCACGTGGTCGTGTGTCAAAGGTGGTTTCAAGCTTCTTTAATCTCTATCAGAACCTCCTTGTGTTTACTAACATGCAAACTTTTATTTCTCTTTAGTTACTTAATGTAACTAGATCTAGAGGCGCCTTGATCACCCTCGGGAGGCGAAGAGCAGGGCTGAGTTTCCTCATCGTCAGTTGAGAAGAGAGGGCTATATCACAGGGTTTTCTGAGGACTGAGTTAGTATTTAAAGTAAATTATGCACTTGTTAAATTACTAAAGTAGTAAGCTTCTTAGCAGCTGTTTCTCATTTATCCCCCACTTTGTCACTTTTTTGTAGATGGTAGGTAACTAAAGCTTAATAATCAAGGATTGGGGATTTTTTTCCTGAGAAAATTGTCTTTATTTGATTTTGCTACAGGTTTTTTTGTTGTTTGTTTGTTTTGAGGAAGATTAGTCCTGAACTAACATCTGCCACCAGTCCTCCTCTTTTGAGGAAGACTGGCCCTGAGCCAACATCCATGCCCATCTTCCTCTACTTTACATGTGGGACACCTGCCACAGCATGGCGTGCCAAGCGGTGCCATGTCCGCACCCGGGATCTGAACTGGTGAACCCCGGGCCGCCAAAGTGGAACCTGCGCACTCTACTGCTGCGCCACTGGACCGGCCCCTGATTTTGCTAGTTTTTTTCTTTTCCTATGTTAGTTCTATTTTTAGTGAATTTTTGAATTAATTCTTTGGTACATGTGGAACTTACTCCACAGTGTCATGTGACATGAGGCCTAAAGTTGTTTTCCTTCTCGCTATTCTAGCCACAGTTACTAGAGGGTTCTGTTGTTCCTTGTTTCTCCTGTTAATTTAAAAACTTGCTTTATTGCTATAGTGACCAATATTTGGCTTTTAAATTTCTGGCTTAGTTTTACTATACAAATATGTAAGTATTTGTGTGTGTGCCTAATTCTTTAACTCTGTTTAGCTATGCCCTGGTCTCTAAAAATCATTTTCTTAGATTTTTCGGCTCTAAAACCCCTGTTTGCAGAATATAGTTCTTATTTCTTTTTTGAATTTGTTGCCCTTACTATTCTTTCTCAAATAATTACTGCAAGGACTTGGAAAGTTCTGGTAAAATAGGTGTAATGATGGTTGTGTTTTTTGTTTGTTTTTTAAGATTTTATTTTTTCTTTTTCTCCCCAAAGCCCCCTGGTACATAGTTGTGTATTTTTAGTTGTGGTCCTTCTAGTTGTGGCATGTAGGATGCCACCTCAGCATGGCCTGATGAGTGGTGCCATGTCCGTGCCCAGGATTCGAACCAGCGAAACCCTGGGCCACCAAAGCAGAAAACACGAACTTAACCGCTTGGCCACAGGGCCGGCCTCTATGGTTGTGTTTTTTAATTTGATGCATTATTTGGTTGTTCTTTGCATATTGGGGCCTATATAGATATAACTTTTAACAATCTTCAACCATTGAATTTCTTTCTTTTAGGTGCAAATATTAAAATCATTTTATTTTTATGTACTTCAACCTCTTTTTAAAGACTTTTTAAAAAGTAATGTCAAAGATATTTTCTACTTTTCTCATCCATTTCCAGGCCCCTAACGTTTATGGGATCACAGACTAGGAAAGTCCTACTAACTCCCCTGATGCATTCATCTCGCCCTTTCCGGGTCTCCAACCATGACAGAAGCAGCCGGCGAGGGGTGATGGCGAGCAACCTGAAGGAGCTCCTCAGTAAGGTACCATGAGCGGCCTCCTCCAACAGCTCACAGAAGGTCCCCTGCACTCACCCAGGGCCGTGGTCTTGGGAACTGAGCCAATGCAAGACGGAAATGTCAGTGTCCTGGCCTTGGAGAGTCTGAAGGGAGCCACTTCTAAGTGGCTAAAGGGAGAACAAAAGAATGAAAGGAAACTGCATCTCTGTGCCATAAAATATTTAGGTACAGAGACAAAACCTTAAAAATAGTCATCAATTGATAGTGTAGCTTTGTTTCTTTGACAGGGGAGAATGGAAGGAAGCAGGAGACTTTGGAAATCTGTTTTTCGTTATAAAGGCCAGGGAAGAATAGTCCCTAATCTAAACAGTGTTGTAGATCACCAAATAAGAAAGAGTCATAGACTCTCGTGGAGGCATAACCCAGACAAAGACACCATGGAAATAAGAACTGGTATCCAACACGCAGTGTCTCCAAAGCAAGAGGGACGTTCAAATATGCCACTCGAGACACAGCCTCTATAGTTATCATATGTGCAAGATCATTCTTTTCTATTTGTCAAAATAAGTAGGTGATTTCAGAAATTGTAAATATTATTCAGTGTAATCATTTACCTTATGTCATTGAAATCGCTGAAGAAGATAGGTCCCTTAAAAATTTTAACTTGTCTTTTCCAAGCAAAGAATGAGCCATGGACACCAATTAAGGTATACCTTTACCATTAAAAATTGATCAAAATCAGCCAACACTTCTGAAACCATGTCTTAATCAATGTCATTGATTGGTCCAATGGACTCTCTTACTTTCTTCGTGTCTCTGATGCACTGCCACTCCAGACCTTGGACGCCCTCGTGATCACCAGCGGCCTGGTCACTTTGGTGCTGGAGGAAGACGGCACTGTGGTGGACACGGAAGAGTTCTTTCAAACCTTAGGAGACAACACACATTTCATGATCTTGGAAAAAGGGCAGAAGTGGACACCGGTAAGCAAAAGCGCTGTTATCCAAACAGCTATGGGTAGACTTTTTACCTATAAAAGTGCATTCCCCACTTTGGTATTGACTTGCCCAATTTCTAAAAATATACTTTGCATTCACCTAATAACTGGATTTACTGCCCTCAAAGGGTTTATTATAAGTATTGCTAGGAAATTTAGCATCTCTGTGCACTTGGGCTATGTCATTTAAAGCAAATAATTCTGGGGGACAGGCTTTGACCAGTGAGTAGCTACAGATCCTGTTAAAGTGTACAGATATGACCTGGTAGCTATCACTGTCTCTGTCCTTAGAGGCCGGCAAGCTAACATAGCCAGTGACATTAAGTAGGGGAGTGTATGTGTGAGTGTGTGTAAATACAGTGATTTAGAAAAGTAAAGAGATAAAATAAAGGTTTCTGTTTCTGGGAAAATCATAGATTTTATATCTTAGGAAACCCTCCCTCTATAAAACACCTCAAAATGTACAGCAAAATATTAAAACATCCTTTTACGTGCCTAACTCACCTTCAAGAAAGAGAAATCCTCAGAGGCCAACATTTTTAAGAGGGCTAGAACTCAGAGAGGAAAGCAAACACAGAAGCTGGCAACTCACCTGTGGGCATGTCACCTGTGGGCATGTCACCCGTGGGCATCTCATCTGTGGGCATCTCACCCGTGGGCGTCTCACCCACGGGCATGTCACCTGTGGGTGTCTCACCTGTGGGCATGTCACCTGTGGGCATCTACTGACCTCAGTGACTACAAGCTTCAGTTTTGATGGATACTGGGAAGACAGGAGACAAAGTCTTAGGCTGACACAAAGTGGTAAGAGATGCCCACATAAAGCAGAGAAGAGAATCTGTGGCCACAAGCTGCTCTCATGAGATTTCAGGGACTGCTGATTCCAAAAACACCCAAGCTGAGAATTTAGTTTATGGAGATCTTGGGAGGAAGCGTCAGTGGAAGGAATTTACTCATTGTATTCTCTTTATTCAACTAGTCCCTTGCTCCAGCCCTGGTGACCCAGGGTTGGTAGCCCCTACTTAACTAGAAGGAGCAAATAGGCTTTGAATGGTCAGAGAGTTTTCATTCTTAAAGTTCTAACAAATGTGAGTTCACAATCAAGACACAAAACATATTAGGGAATGGAGGGCAACCTGAACCACCGCTCCATGGGTAAGACGTGAGGTTCATGATGCTGGACTAGAGATCAAGGATGCATTCCAAGAAAGTTCTAAAAATATATCACCAGCTTCTACCTGATAGTTGACCTAGCCATGGAAAACTCATTGGATCCTCAGTAGATCAGACCATAACTGGCACTTTTAAAAACTCTCCTCATCAAAAAGTATCAGGAATGAAAATCTAAGATATATATCTACTACTTCAATAAAGTTCCTATGCCAGCTAACGTTCTAGCAGGTCAGCTAGTTTCTTTGATCATCCAGTGGACATACTCAAGCTACCAAAACAACAGAGGAAAATGTCTCTATATCAATGTTTTTCAAATTATGTGTGTGACCCATTGGTAGCTCATGAATTCTGTGAGTCACCATGAACATTTTTTTAAAACAAAATAAAATATATCAGAAAAAACCCCCACAAAACATAAGGACTCAAGGCGCTATATATTTTTTTCTTTATGAATAAAAATATGTAATGAAATATTCACAAGTTGAGTCCAACAAAATATAAAAATGATAATAAATCATAACCAAGTGGGAATTATCCCAGAAATGCAAGACTGGTTTAACATTCAAAAATCAATCAATGTAGGGGCTGGCCCCGTGGCTGAGTGGTTAAGTTCGTGCGCTCCGCTGCAGGCGGCCCAGTGTTTTGTTGGTTCGAATCCTGGGCACGGACATGGCACTGCTCATCAAACCACGCTGAGGCAGCGTCCCACATGCCACAACTAGAAGGACCCACAACGAAAAATATACAACTAGGTACCAGGGGGCTTTGGGGAGAAAAAGGAAAATAAAATAAAATCTTAAAAAAAAAAATCAATCAATGTAATTCACCATATCAACAAACTAACAAAAAAAATTTGATCATCTTAATAGATGTAGACAAAGCATTTGACAAAATTCAACACTACATATGGTCAGAACAGTAAAATAGGAATAGAAGGGAACTTCCACAACCTCATAAAGTGTATCTACAAAAAGACATATAACTAATATAATAATTAACAATGAAAGAAAGAATTTTTATCCCTAAAATTGGTAACAAGGCAAGGATGTCCTTTCTTACCACTTCTATTCAACAACATACTAAGGGATTTAGTCAGTGCAATAAGGCAAAAATAAATAAAACACATAAAGAATTGGAAAGGAAATAATAAAAGTATCTCTATTCACAGAAAACATGATTGTCTATGTAGAAAACCCAAAGAATCTACAAAAAAAAAACGCTACTAGAATTAATAAATGAGATTAGCAAGGCTGTAGGATACAAGGTCAGTATGCAAACTCAATGTATTTCTATAACAATGAACAATTAGAAATTGAAATAAAGAACCAGCATCATTTATAATAGCATCAAAGCGGAAAATACTTAGGGGTAAATCTAACAAAATATGTGCAAGATTTGTATGCTGAAAATTATAAAGCATTGATGAGAAAAATCAAAGAAAACTTAAATAAATGCAGAGATATACCATGTTCATGGATTGGGCTTTTCAATGCTAAGATGTCAGATCTTCCAAAATTGATCTATAGATTTAATCCAATCCCAATCAAAATTTCAGCAGTCTTTTTTGGTGTGGAAATTGACAAGCTGCTTCTGAAATTCACAGAAATGCCAAGGACCTAGAATAGATAAAACAACTTTTTAAAAGAACAACTCATACCTTACACTATGTATGAACATTTATTTGAAATTAATCATAGACTTAAATGTAAAACCTAAAATATAAAACTTAAAAAAAAAAAAAGATAGAGCTGGCCAGATGGCGCAGTGGTTAAGTTCGCACATTCCACTTCTGCCGCCCGGGGTTTGCCAGTTTGGATCCTGGGTGCAGACATGGCACTGCTTGGCAAGCCAAGCTGTGGTAGGCATCCCACATAAAAAAAAAAGTAGAGCAAGATGGGCATGGATGTTAGCTCAGGGCCAGTCTTCCTCAGCAAAAAGAGGAGGATTGGCAGCAGATGTTGGCTCAGGGCTAATCTTCCTCAAAAAAAAAGAAGATAGAGGGGCCAGCCCCATGGCCTAGTGGTTAAGTTTGCATGCTCCACTTTGGCGTCCCAGGGTTTTGCTGGTTCGGATCCTGGGCACGGACATGGCACTGCTCATCAGGCCATGCTGAGGCGGCATCTGCATGCCACAACTGGAAGGACCCACAGCTAAAATATACAACTAGGTACTGGGGGGATTTGGGGAGAAAAAAAGCAGAGGAAAAAAAAAGGAAGATTGGCAACAGTTGTTAGCTCAGGTGCCACAATCTTTAAAAAGAAAAGAAAAGAAAACATAGAAAACCTTTGTGACCTTGAGTTAGGCAAAAATTTTGTAGGACTTAAAAAGCACAAACCAAAAAAGAAAAAAATGATAAATTGGACTTCATCAAAATTTAAAGTGTCTACTCTTTGAAAGACACTGTTAGGAAAATTTAAAAACACAGACTGGGAGAAAACATTTTCAAAACACGTATCTGACAAAGAACTTGTATCCAGAATACTTAAGAAGTTATCACAATCAATAATAAGAAAACAAACAGTATGGATGAAATATTTTAACAGATATTATATCAAAAGATGTACAGATGGCAAATAAGGACATGAAAGCTCAACATCATTAGTCATTAGGAAAATCAAATGAAAACCTTAGTGTGGTAATACTATACAATTATTAGAATAGTTTTTAAAAACTGAAAATAACAAGTGCTGGTGAGGATGAGAAACTGAAATCCGCATACATCGCTGCTGGGGATGCAACATGGTACATCCACTTTGGAAAAACAGATTTACAGTTTCTGATAATATTAAACATAACACTTACCACACCCAGCAATTCCATTACTAGGTATCTATCCATGAGAAAGAAAAACGTATGCCCACTTGAAAACTTCTACATGAATATTTACAGCAGCTTTACTCATAATCTCCCAAAATTGGAAACAACCTAAACTAGTGAGTGGCTAAGCAATTTGTGGTACAGCCATGCAATTGAGTCCTACTCAGCAATAAAAATGGAATGAACTATTGATACACTTGACAATTTGGATGAATCTCAAAAGCATTATGCTAAGTAACAGAAGCCAGATGCGGAAGGCTGCGTACTACATGGTTCCATTTGTGTCACGTTTTGTGAATCAAGGCACTATATTTGAGCGTAAGCAGAAACAACAAAGTCAGGCCTGCAACAACATCAGATGTTGGACTCATATACTGAGTATAAAATAAATATATTTTAAAAATTCAAAGAAATATAAAAAGTAATCCGAAGCAAGAAGGACCAAGAGGTAATCAAGAAGGACTAGGTAGACTTGAAAGAATCAAACAGAATTTCTGGAAGTGAAAAATACAGCAATTAAAGTCAATGCAGACTCAGCTAGGACTGACGATAGCAATGAAAGACCTGGAAGATACGTGTAAAGACGGTGCCTGGGATGTAACACAAAGAGACAGAGATGCAAAATGGGAAGGAAGGCGGAGACGAGACTGAGAAGATTTAATACACGTCTATTTGGCATCATCAGAGTGTTCTGTTTTAAAACGAGACACAACACACAAACCATTTATTTCAAATGATAAATTCAACTCCATTAAGAAATTCATTCATCAAAAAATACTATAAAGGAAGTAAAATAATAAGCCACAACTGTGGAGAAGGTGTTTTCAACATAACCCAACAAAGGATTAGTATTCAGCAAATTTAAAGAACCACACAAATCAATTATGGGAACAACAGACAATTGAATAGAAAAATAGGCAAAAAATAGGAACAGGCATCTGCAGAATGGACAATAAAACATAGGAAAAGATGCTCAACTTCACCGGTAACTAGGAAAATGTAGGTGAAACCCACAATATGATACGCTTTTAAGCCATTAGATTTGGTATTGTTAGGCTTTTTAATTTTTTCCATTTTTAAGATATGGAGCAATGAACTCCCTTACACTCCCACCAACAGCTGTTTAAAACAACTTGCCTTTATCCCATAGAATTGAAGTACCAGCTACAACCCAGCAACTCCATTCCTAGACATACACTCAGCACGGGCACCCAGCCATGTACTTCTATGTATGTACACATGAATAAATACACTGCTGTCTATTCACTGAATGGCATACTCTTCAGTTGTGAGAATGTGTGAAGTGCAACTGCAGGCCTCCACATGTGTAAATCTCATCAACTGTGTTGAGTGGAATCATTGAAGAATAATCCATTAAGAAAGTGGGCCTCAAACTTTTTATCTCAGGACCCCTTTACATTCTTCCAAATTAATGAGGACCCCCTAACAGCTTTTGTCTATGTGGATTATATCAATAGAATCTATAGATATCCGTTGATCAGAGGTTCTCAACTGGGGCCATTTTGCCTCTTGGGGGACATCTGGCAATGTCTGAAGACATTTGTGGTTGTTACAACTGGGGCAGAGGGTACTACTGGCATCTAGTGGATAGAGACCAGAGATGCTGCTAAATAGTCTATAATGAATATCATAGACGGCTCCCACAATAAAGAATTCTATGGCCCCAAATGTCATAGTGCCAAGGTTGAGAAACTATAAGCTATAGATACAGGTATTTCCCATATTCGAAATTTAAATGGAGAAATTTAAAAATATATATTACTTCATTAAAAATAATAACAATACAGGGTAACATAAATCACACAATTTTATGAAAAATAACTATTTTCCAAAACAAAAATATTTAGTGAAGAGTGACATTGTTTTACATTTTTGCAAATTTCTTTAATGCCTAGCCAAATAGAAGATAGCTATATTCTCATATCTGCTTTTGTATTCAATCTCTTGTAATATATTGTTTTGATGAAAGTATGTGAAGAAAATATGACCTCGCACAGATAAATAGTTGGAAAAGGGAGCAGTATTTTAATGATCTTCTCAGGAAATTGAGGATATCCTTCTTTGATACTACTCCAAAACTCAACAAGTGGTGGTTTCATAAAGGCTGGCTGCAGTGTGGAATCTGAAGGCATTCCAGTGAAGGCTGCCTCCCCGCTGGGATGGAATCCATTGGTCCATCTTGCACTTTGGATGGGTCTTTTTCCCAGGGACAATTTGTAACATCATCCAATGGTCATTTGGGAAACATGATTCACTGAGTTATGCAGGTTTCCCAAGTGTAGAATGGAAAACTCCCCTACTTGTGAAAGAATGAGAGCAAAAAAGGCAAATGCATCTTAGTGTTTATTATGAAAATAGTTTCAACCTCTCAGTTCCCTGAAAGAGTCTCAGGATCCCCCAGGTGTCTCCAGACTGCACTTTGAGAACCTCTGCATTTAATCGTTTATATATAATTCGAAAATAAGCAAACTTTGTTTTATGTAGAGTGGTGGCTACACCCATCATCTTATGATTCCTTGTTTTTACACATATTGTATGTATCCTCCTATATGTATCAAATACTTCATAATTTTTCTAACTGGAAGAAAAAGACTATAGACCAATTATAAAAAGCATAAAATTTAAAATACCTTCAAAGCAGCTGAGCAGATCATGCCAGTAAATTGGGAAATCATGGGATGAATCAGATAAATCTGGATTCTGAAACTTTCCGCCCAGGAGCCTCTTGTAAAATGGAAATAGTACTGCCTGCCTCTCTTTCAGTAGACTGTGGGATAGTCATGAGACTGTCCATGTCAATCAAGTAACCAGAGGTCGCCCTAAGTGACTAAGGTGAGTGTGCCTCAATACCACGTGTCAATAGCACAACCATTCATTGAACCCTGGACCCTGAAATCCAGGCCCCCAAACTCAATGACACTCATCTTGAGTCACTAAACTGAAAGGAGATTAAGGAAGGACCCTTTCTCATGGGTTTGGACAGGGTAGCAGTATAAGCATATCGCCCGGTAAAAACAGTCCTCAAATAACCAGCAGCTTAGTCACTAACAGATTTTAAACTGACAGAGTCAAAACTAGCATAAATCCAGAATTATAGAATTTGCATGTCATAGTTGGGGGTGCTCCTAACGTCTCTTGCTCCCTTCACTGTTATAGGGTAGTAACTATGTCCCAGCTCGCCAGCAGCCAAAGAGATCGGGAATAGCGAGGGTCACCTTCGACTTGTACAAGCTGAATCCCAAGGATGTCATCGGCTGCCTCAACGTGAAGGCCACCATGTATGAGATGTACTCAGTGTCCTACGACTTCCGGTGTACAGGGGTCAAGGCCCTGCTGAGGTAACAGACTTTGAGGTCGATTTTGGGGTCTGGAAACTGCACAAGGCACGGTCCAGGTGGCCCGTCCCCAGCTTGCTCCTCCGCGTTCCCAGAGCCCAGCCTCACGGAGGTCCTGACCTGACTGGTTGTGTTGCAGTTCACTCTAATTCATGTGGTCATATGGTAGTTTAACTCTTGTGTCACAGACTTATTTCAGAAAACAAAGTCCTGAGCCAAAATAGATTTTTCTCTCCAAAGACGGTTAAATAATAATGAGACAAAAACTAAGTAATAAATATAGGGGCCAGCCCGGTGGTGCAGCAGTTAAGTTCCCACGATCCACTTCAGCAGCCCGGGGTTCGCTGAGTCAGATCCTGGGCGCGGACTGCTTGTCAAGCCATGCTGTGGCAGACATCCCACATATAAAGTAGAGGAAGATGGGCACAGGGGCCAGCCCGGTGGCACGGCAGTTAAGTTCCGCTTCGTTGGCCCAGGGTTTGCTGGTTCGGATCCTGGGTGTGGACATGGCACCACTTGGCATGCCATGCTGTGGTAGGCCTCCCAAATATAATGTAGAGGAAGATGGGCACGATGTGAGCTCAGGGCCAGTCTTCCTCAGAAAAAAAGAGGAGGATTGGCAGCAGTTAGCTCAGGGCTAATCGTCCTCAAAAAAAAAAATTAAATAAATAAATAAGATGCTGACAGATGTTAGCTCAGGGCCAGTCTTCCTCAGCAAAAAGAGGAGGATTGGCAGCAGATGTTAGCTCAGGGCTAATCTTCCTCAAAAATAATAATAAAATAAATAAATAAATATAAAGAAGAACCAAATTTCTTTCAAAAGCTAGAGCTGTGCATCTTAAAACCTTAATTCTAAGCAATGACAGGTAAAACCAGAGCCATGGAGATCCTCGCCTGCTTTGTACAGAGCAGCCACGCAGACCTAGAGAAGTGCTCTTTTGCATGTATTTTCCATATTACTGCCTCCTGGAAGCTAGCAGTAAGGTGGCACTGGCATTTCCCTTCTCCACAAACTGCCAGGGCACCATCATCCCACAGCTTGGGGTCAGGCTGGCAACACAGCCTCACAGGGGAGCCTGTAGAAGACAGATCCCCAGACCTCTTTGAACAAATTCTGTGTGTTCACCAGACACATTCCCTGGGTGTAACCGGAACGGACATCCTGCCACCGAGCTCTGGTTTGAGAGGGGCACCTGTAGTCCCTCCCAGCCTTGCCTCTGAGCAACCAGCTGTGTGACCCTTAACAGATTACTTAACTTCTCTGAGCCTCAGTTTCCTCATCTCTAAAATGAGAAGGTTGCCTCCTAGTCCTTTCTGGTTGCACAGGCTCTGAATACACCTACTTTGAGCCCTTCAGTCAAGTCGTCACTGACCCTCTCCAGAGCTGACTGTCTGTGGAGGGATGGGGGCAAGGATAGAGACTGACAGTGGCAGAGGGGCTTCGAAGCTAGTCTCAAAAGCTTGCAACTGCTGTCCTTCCAATGCTCTCCGCACAGCCCCTCGGGGCAGGGCTCCTGTTTCTCCGAGGGCGCTGGCGCTCTCCCCTGGCCCCGTGTGGACGGCTCTGACCTCCCCTGAGCGTAGGCCAGGTGGGGAACGCTTTGGAAATGCTCTCCTCTGATGGGTCTCCAGGCCTGGCACAAGGCTGGCTTGGGCAGTGGCTTCTGGGTGGCCTCCATGACCCACTGGGAACCGTCAAGGGCTGACTCCTAGACAACAGGTGCTAGTGTGGAAATCTTGACCCCCAGGAGAGCTTCCTCTTTTGGCGGAGATGGGAGAAAATAGCTTTATTGCTTGATTTTTAAAGTGAGACAGGAGAGTTACAACAACGTAGAAAAACATAATGAAGAAAGAAAACCTCACCCAAAATCCCACCTCAGCAATCTTTCTTGAAAGGCAAATTTAGCCTTCTGGTCGCTAATTCTTACCATCTGATAGAACTGATGGCACCACAAGCAGCCACAGAAGTCACAAAGGCCCCCAAATCGAAGGCGCCACCAGCCAGGGCCCCATAGTGGGACGCCAGAGCGGGGGCTCTCCCCACTAGCACAGCTGACCCCAGGCTCGGCTGCCCTCATGAGGTGACGGGCCTTAAAAACTGGAATAAAACCCCATAGGTTTGGATTTGATAGAGAATAAGAATTTGAGTTAGAGCTACTTTTTAGTCTGAAATAGCATGAATGCCAGACTCAGCCTTAGGACTGAGATGCCACAAGAGTGTCACGTTGAGACATCCCAGCCGCCCTAAGCAAACCAGGTCATAGGATCACGATTGCAGTTTTTGTGAGCCTTGTCTGCCGCCTGACCCCTTTCACGGCTGACTCGACTGACTTCAGCGACAAGCCCCACACCCCCAAGGCCAACAGAACACGCCAGCGGCGGAAGGGCAGGCCGTGGAGACTGTTCTTGGGTGCGCAGTCTGCAGACTCCGCGCTCCAGCTGCTGGACAACAGGCCGCTTGGGGAAGCGGCTAGGGGAAGGGGGCTCTGCCCAGCCTTCGAAGGTGCGGACTGCCTGCCCTGAGCACATGTTTAGTGGGAGCGGGGGGGCTGTGAAGAGTTCTCACAAGGTCTGCTCCTCATCTGGCCCAGACTCCAAGCCTGACCCGTGCCCTTGTCCCCTCTGTTGCAGGAGCCTGCTGCGGTTCCTGTCCCATGCTGCCCAGGTGACCGGACAGTTTCTCATCTACACGGGCACATACATGCTCCGAGTGCTGGGTGACACGGAAGAGCAGGCTTCTCCCAGGTCACGCTCCAGGTGAGCGTTCATGTGTGGATAGGGCTGCCCGCTGCAGGGGGCTCAGCCAGCTCTTGACCCAAACCTTCCCTCTCAAGTGATGAATTTGGAATATGCTTATGTTCTCAACCGCAGGCACTTGTAGGTTGCTGGGCATTTCTGCTCAGGAGTGGTACCCAGGTGAAAGAAAAGGCGCTTGATGGCACATGAAATGGGGGCCATGCAGCAGATGCCCTGAAGGGGAGGAACTGTGCCAGCCTCCACCGGGAGAGGAAGGGACCAAAGAGCAGGAATGTCTCGGTGGCTCCGGAGCAGCGCACATGCATTAGGCCTTGGTGGCTCCTTGCCTCCTGCAATAAACCAATCACAAGAGTTACTTTTAATACACATAATACTTCTTGTGTCTCTTTCATCTCCCAAAAGAACAAAACTTTCATATAGAAGCAAAACTCAACCAAAAATGTTCTGCTAACGGATATAATTGCTTTTAAGTCTTTATTAGTTCTTGGTGTCACAGAAATAAAGAGCTGTCAAATGTCACTGTGGGTTTTTTTTTTTAATGTGGGTCCTGAATGGTCCCAAAGGGACCCAAAAGCTTAAGGACCTGAATTTTTGGAGGTCTTCAAGCAGCACTTTCAGCCTTTTCTTAAAAAAAAACGAACAGAAAAACTTCTTGAAACCCAGACCTGATGCATGGCACCAGTGGACCGCATCTTCACTTCCTAAGGTCACCTGTGTTGTCAGTCAGGACCCGTGGGTGCAAATGACAGAACTCTGACTCAGGGGACCAGCCAGTGGCGCAGTGGTTAAGTTCACACATTCTGCTTTGGCAGCCCGGGGTTCACTGGTTCGGATCCCTGGTGTGGACCTACACACTGCTAGTAAAGCCATGCTGTGGCAGGCGTACCACATATGAAGTAGAGGAAGATGGGCACGGATGTTAGCTCAGCAACAGTCTTCCTCAGCAAAAAGAGGAGGATTGGCAGCAGATGTTAGCTCAGGGCTAATCTTCCTCAAAAAAGAAAAAACACAAAAAACTCTGACTCAGGCCAGCATAAGCCAAGAGGCAGCCAAGGAGAGCAGCAGTGGCTCTAGCTGCAGGTGGCACTCAAAGGAGGTGGCCAGGAATCTGTCTCTGCATTTGTCATCTCCATCCTGCTTGGTGCTTCCCTGTGAGGCCTGCTTTCCTCTAAGTTGGTGTCGCCTTCAGGCTGGCCCTCCTCACAGGGAAGCGCCATGTCAGCCCCTACAGAAGGAAATCCTGGCGCTGCATCCCAGAGAGACGCCCTGGACAAGGCCTCTGGCCACTGCAGTCACAGCAGCTGGCATGACACAGGGCCACACCCCTGGTCCTGCAGACAGGGAAGGATAAGCCCCAACCACACAAGTTGGGTGGGGAGAACATGGCTCCCCAAGGAAATGGGGTGATGCTACCAGAATAAGGGGGAACAGATGCTAGGAGACAAATCTACCCCCATTCAGATTTGTGATGTTCCTGTTAAGAAATGTTGCCTCAGGGGGGCTGGCCCCGTGGCCGTGTGGTTACGTTCGCGCGCTCCGCTGCAGGCGGCCCAGTGTTTCGTTAGTTCGAATCCTGGGCGCGGACATGGCCCTGCTCATCAGACCACGCTGAGGCAGCATCCCACATGCCACAACTAGAAGAACCCACAACGAAGAATACACAACTATGTACTGGGGGGCTTTGGGGAGAAAAAGGAAAAAATAAAATCTTTAAAAAAAAAAAAAAAAAAAAAAAAGAAATGTTGCCTCAGAGGCCTTTCTCCTTTCCCGCTGACAGCTCAGGCACAGAGAAAAGGTGCCATGGGTTGTCCTGAGACCCTAGAAGCAAAGAATGCCCCACACTGTTCCTGAAGCTCCTTCCTGCCCACTGTCCAACCTTCCCTGGGGGCCTAGACTTCTCCTCCCTTCACAAACACCGTCCAGAGCCCACTTCTGCGGTCCCTGTGACCAGGGTCCATGCCAGTGCTGGCTCACTGTTTCTGAGCTGCCTACTTGGAGAAGCCAGCCAGCAACCAACGCCCTGCAGGCTGGAGGCAGAGTAAAGGGACCACAGCAGCATCCCTCAAAACACAGCCTCTCCTTTTAACACAGTGAAAAAGTAGGTCCTTTCAGCAACACCCCCACCTCCTTCTGTTTCTGCTGTCCTTCTACAATAAGCCACTGCCGCTGGTGGAGGGCGTTATCACAGAGATTGCTCAGACGTAGTCCCTGTGCTGCCCTGCAGGAGCCTCTTTTGTGGAATGTTCCCTATATAAGGAGCTCTGCTGAGAGCCCTCCCCATCGCGGGCTGGGCCGGGCCAGGCTGCCAGCAAAGGAGATGGAGGGAGAGGCCCCAGAACTGCTAGCATCGGTCGTGGGATCCGGGGCCAGCCAGCCTGGCTTTCCGGCACCTTGCGAGGAGCACTGGCCCCTGCCTCTCGCTGACTGTGGGCTTGCGTCACTTCCCAAGGATTCGCAGTCCTGGAAAGTGCCTGCCTGGCTTCCAAAAAAGGAATTTTCACTGAACAGCCTGATCCCGTTGACTCAGCTGCCGCCCCCACTTGGTGTGTCCTTTTCCTCACAGTATCCAGAGGGCACCCTGGCCTTTTTTAAGGTGGAAATTAAGCAAAAGGAGAATATAGAAGTGCCATCTCATCATCAGAAGGCAGATTAATTCAAAAGAAGGACTACTTAGAGTTTGGGAGTTTCTGAGCACGCTGCAGCCTTCCCCGGCCCTGTGTGCCCACGGCTTCCTGGGATGGCCCGGCACAGAGCTGCCCCTGCAGGACCCTCAGGGAAGGCTTGAAGGGCCCCCAGGCTCTAACGACGGAGGCCGACTTTGCTAGCATCACAGGCTTCAGAGGGCCCTTCATGAGACTTTCCACAGAGAAAACTGACAGAATTAAAACCTGCTCCATTTATGGGGAGGGTCCCAACAGGTGCAGCTCCCTCTCATCTCCGGTTCGGATTAGGCAACATGCATTGCAAACACGACACTTTCTTGTTCTAATCTTAGTTTCTCTACAACCCACGTTTAGCCCACCAGCCCAGAGACAGGCGCGGCCCCCATGGTTAGCAGGAGTGGGCCGGGCTGGCGTCACCCACAGCTCCTGGCCCAGGCTGCTCAGCACAGCTCCACCAAGCGTGGACTCTGCGGAGAAAGTGCTGCAGGGTTTGGGATGTCACTCATAACTAAGTCACTAGCTGAATCTGCTTGGGGGGGGGCATGTGTTCCTTTCAAGGTCTCAGGGTCTTTCTATGTGCCCTCAACTTACTGACTTCCAGAATCACAATTTAGAAAACAGCAAATCGTTCCTATGAGCTCAGGGTTCATGATCCTTCCATTTCTGTTTCTTAGTGTGCCCCCCTTTGTGAGTGTACTTACACAGCTGGCTCCACGCCCCCACATGTCCTGCTGTGTCTCCACCTCATAACCAGGTGTACTCCCTGCCATGAGCAGGGGACGGAGTACAGGCCTGGCATGAACTGAGAGCATCAGAATGAAAGATTCTAAAAGCCATTACCTCACGGCGAAAGGCAGACTCTGGTTAAAATCACCCTGCTGGGAACAGACTTTGCTGTCCCAAGTCTCTTTCTTCATCTGAAAAATTAGGATCAAAATGAGGTGGTCCAGGAATTCCATTCCCAGACGGATTTTCTTGGCGCGTCTGTGTTCTCCTTTTGCCAGACACAGGCAGGCCAGACGCAGCGCCGGCCTGGCACTTCTTAGTTCACACGGTTCTACTCTCCTTCCGTCCCTGGGGAAGGCGTGCGTCTGTTATCTGGCTGGCCTCTGGGTCTCAAGTCAATGGCAGTGCTGTAGGTTTTTTCAGAATAGGATCCTAAATCTTGGATCCATTTCCTCAAGGAAAGTCCTCTTTCTCCTCACACTGTGCAGCAAACATATGCTTTGCTTCCTGCTCAGAGAAGGAAGGTGGGCACATCACCCACGGCCTGACCCTGTCTCTGGCCCACCTGGGGCTACTGGGTTGCTTTCCTTCAGTGCCCCAGACCTGTGAGAATGTGGCCTTTCTCCAGGAAGCTGGGCCCAGCATGCTCACCCCCCAGAATGAGCCACAGAGAGCGCTCTGCCCCCACATCTGAGGGTGCCCTTCCCACTCAGGGGGTCGCCTGTCTCCTGCTCCTCTGTGATAAACTGTATGCAAAGGAAACTGTGGGCAGCATCCCCTCTCCTGTCTGCCACCTTTCTCTTTCTTTTTGTTTTTTTGTGTTTTTTTGAGGAAGATTAGCCCTGAGCTAGCATCTGCCGCCAATCCTCCTCTTTTTGCTCAGGAAGACTGGCCCTGAGCTAACATCCGTGCCCATCTTCCCCTACTTTATACGTGGGACGCCTGCGACAACATGGCCTGATGAACGGGATCCAAACCAGCGAACCCTGGGCTGCTGAAGCGGAGCACGGGAACTTAACCACTACGCCACCGGGTGGGCCCTCACCTTTCCCGTTTTTGACCCTTGTTCCTTGCTACAATTATCTTAGTTTCCTCAAAGGAGTTGGAACCATGCTCAGATGAACAATTGCAAACACCTGGTGTGTCTTGGGGGCACCTGAGAAAAGAGCAGCCCCGGGGGACTCCCGCGTCTGAAGCCTCAGAGAGGACCAAGGTGGAAACCTGCGGTTACAGGCCTCCACTGCACGACGGTCCCCAAACTCAGAGCAGGCTTAAGCCTCAGGCCACAGATTTAGGTGCGCAAGGAGGAGAGCTTCCCCCCAACATTCGTGTGTGTGGTAAACATACATAACATTGAAAGAACTGTGGCTTTTTAAATCTGTTTGTCAGCGCACTACTTTTTATTTCAAGCGTCCCTTCCGCTGCGTGGTCTCCCCTCCCCTCACGCCCCAGGAGGTCACTCCAGGCCTTCTGGGGGCTGATGCGCAGCACACGCCTCGGCCTTCAGGGGTCTGGTCCCATCCAGGCCTCACCCACCATCCCCACTGGCTGTGACCTTTGGAGGGCCGGCTGTGAAGGTCACACCGCCTCTTCGCGGCCCCCCCTGCTCTGCGTCCTCATGCCACTGTGCCCTGCACTGCTCGGAACCAGGTCCTCCTTGGCCTGGCCACAGAGGCGAACGTTCTGCCGCTCCACAGCCAGACCAAGGCGCAATCCCCCGCACCCCCGCCACTGCGGTGTTGGGGCTCCTGGTCTGTGCGGGTGTGGACAGCTCCGAGGGGTGAGGGCTTCCAGGGTCCACCTGGTGAGAGAGCACAGGTCCGCGCGACTCAGCTCCCCAGTCTTTTGGGGGGACTGTGACCCACCCACCTACCCTCCGTCCCTGACTCCAGGATCCAGGATCCAGGATCCGACTCTTCCAAAAGCGCTCCATCTTTTCTAAGTGAACCTAGCCTCTCCCTCATCCTGCCAGTTCTCGCCTTCTGTTCCCGCCTCAGCATCACGGAGGCGGGGCTGGACACCCGGCCACCCCGGCAAGGCTGGGGCAGGGGCGCCGAAACTGCGCGTGCGTCGAAACCCCTTCCCGGGTCGCGGGCGCTGCGCGCGGCGCTCTCGGCGGGCACCGGGCTG